TATATATATATATATATATATATATATATATATATTGTGTGTAAGAAATGAAACAAAGTGAGTTGATTTAACAAGCACAGTTACATTAAAAAATCACACAAACAACCAAAACCACATTTCAAAATTATTAGAGTTCACAGAACAGCCAAAATACCATTGAAATTAAGAAGAAAAAAAAGCAAGTCAGTATTTAAACTTCACATACAAACCCCCTTCTTAGGCCTGATCTCAATTCCCTGAACAATAAGGCCACTCTTCCAATGCCCTCCCTTGATCTCCAAAAACGACATAACAACCTCCCCATCATCTCCATCTTCATTATAGAACTCCCCCAACAAAATTTCCATCCACCCATCCTGCCTTAATTGAGGCCTTCCCACAATTTCACCATCCCTTTCTGATTGATCTTGTCCTTCTACATCTGGATTTTGCCGTCGATCATGCCGAGCCTCGTCCGCCTCTTCCGGCAAATCATCTCGCACATGCAGCTCGTTCAGAGGCTCTCGTAAATCTTCCGGCGGCTCTTGCGGAAAATTTGCACGGCGAAAGAAGTTTCGAAAATATCTCGGCCGACGTAAGATCGGCCGTGGCCTGCCAAAGTTTTGTTCTTCCATCAGGCGCACTGAAAGGGGTGAGTCGTCTGCTCCTATGGTGACCGATGCCTTTTGTGGAGGATCGTTGAAGCCCGCCGCACTACTTGATAATTTGAATATAAGATAGGCTGAATAGTTAGACCTTTTGGAGAGCAGCCTAGAGTTAATTCTGCCACGGATCTCCAGCCAGCATACATTCATTAGCTCAGCAACTTCCGGAAACCTTGCACAACAGCACTCTTCTCAGTCATATATATATAAAATGCAATAGGTGCAGCAGTACAATAATATAATATCATACATGAAAGCTTTAAAAACAGTTTAGCAGAAAATCCAAAAGAGAATTACCAGCACTGTAAGACCGCAGTGGCATTTGAACTTTTGCAAACAAGCTTCATTAGTTAAAAAAAGTAAAAAATAAAAATCTAAATTCTTATTTCTAAAAAATTTAAATCCTAGTTTTTGAAACCAGTTTCAGAAGCTAGAAGTACAGGTGTGGGCAAAAAACTAGAGCATTTACATACATTCCGCCTAATTCTTATGTATTTACACATCTAACACCTAAACTTTGCTTCGTACATTTCTAACACCCAAATCATTTATATCGAACAAAAATATCACTTAACTTTTAAATACATCTTTTTATGCATAGGTCTGTTGGCATATATATATATATATATATATATATATATAAATGCGTGCGCTGTGTGTAAAAATTGAAGTTTAGGTATTAGACATGTAAATACACAAAAGTGGAATGTATGTAGATCTTCCAAAATAAAAAGTTCTCAAAAAGGGTCTGGATTGCAAATCATTGCACGGCTTCGACAATTATTTGGGAAGTGCAACCCAAAGGTAGTAAAAACAACAGAGCTGTAAGCATTACATATTTGCATTCTGGGCGCATTTACATGCTTACCACACAATTAATATGTATTTACATATCAAACACCTAAACATTCATGATTACATTTATATCACTCAAATCTTCAACATCACATAAATAACAGCACATTCATTATTTTTTAAAAAGGTAAAATACATATTTTCATACATAAGTTTATACACTTACAGTGTTATAAATGTAGATATTGAACTTTGAGTGTAGATATATAAATACATAATAATTGCGTTATGCATGTAAATTTTCCTTCCTTTTATAATAACATGACTATGATTTTAATGGCAGTATACTAAAGAACCAAATTGTTATGATTTTCATGGTAGTATACTAAAGAACCAAATTCCAAATGACCAAATGGCCCGTACATCTAAAGCTGCTTTGATAAAGTGCAAAAATAATTAGATCTCATGGTGATAAAAGTTGGGTTACTTCCTCACGAAGTGATAAAGAATAGCCAAGTGTTCTGACATCTGAGGAGAAAAAGGCTTGCTAAAAAGGCCACCACTTGAATAAAGCCACCAATAAATTTAGCAGTAATGTTGCGAGGTGCAAAAAGCAAGAGGAAATTATATAATATTAAGATTAAAATTTACTAAATGTAACCGAAGCTAGTTGAGTTTTATGGATGCAAGAATTCCAAGGAAAACTTAATAGCAGAGTTTTCAGCTAATCCAAAAATGTAATATGTAAACCTAAATGAATTTGAGATTGGAGAGCTAGGCCAGATATTATCTAGAAATAAACATAAGCATTTCAAGGGAAACAGTTCAAAGCTTAAGGCACACCGATAGAGGTTTTGTACCGTTAAATTTGTCTCTCTATAATCCTCAGATTGCAATCCGTATGCTTCTCAAAATGATCGACGACCACTAATTAATTTTCTCTCATTTTTTGATTTATTCATATTTTAAACTGCCTCTGGGAGTTGTATACATACCTCCCCTCTTGTACAAACGTGAATGCGAATCTTTGAGAGTTTTTTTCCATTGCTTATTTTCTAAATAGTATCAAAGGGAGGTTAAGGCGTTCCTTCCCATTTTTATTTTTATTCTCCAAGGTAAAGTTTTCCAATTCCAACTTTATCCTTCTTGTTTTATTCTCCTTCTATTCACTATATTTGGGTTCTTTGATTTCTCTTCAAAGAGATCGACCATAATTAACAGCAAAAAATTTAGCCCAAAGGAAAAAAACCAAATATTTAAAGCACCTGATTAGTTAAACGGGATAAATTATCATAAATCGACTCAAATTGTGAAATACTTTTCTAAAGGAAGAGAAAAGTATCCAAAATCTAATGGATCTTCCTCCGGAGCTCAAATATCCAATTTTTTTTACTTTGGTAAGAAACTAATTCCATGATCAAAATATGGTTGTGGAACACCACACTACTGAAGATTAATGAACCTTCTGTGTTTCTGCGGTTAAACAAATATACTTAAAGATGAAATATGCTGCACTCATAACAATGAAGTTTTAATACCAAATAAAATAATTTTCCTAACAATGAGTACTTTAATGCCATGAAGTTTTATTGGTTAGAGTTGAACTATTACCAATATCTCACGATGTTCTGCTATGAAATTGAGACAATCCTCGTAAAATTTGTTGAGCGATCCACCTCAAAAGAGGTTTTGGATGCGGTTAAACAAATATACTTAAAAGATCAAATATGTTGCACTCATAACAATGAAGTTTTAATACCAAATAAAATATTTTTTCTAACAATGAGTACTTTAATGCCATGAAGTTTTATTGGTTAGAGTTGAACTATTACCAATATCTCACGATGTTCTGCTATGAAATTGAGACAATCCTCGTAAAATTTGTTGAGCGATCCACCTCAAAAGAGGTTTTGGATGCGGTTAAACAAATATACTTAAAAGATCAAATATGTTGCACTCATAACAATGAAGTTTTAATACCAAATAAAATATTTTTTCTAACAATGAGTACTTTAATGCCATGAAGTTTTATTGGTTATAGTTGAACTATTACCAATATCTCACGATGTTCTGCCATGAAAATGAGAGAATCCTCATAAAATTTGTTGAGCGAGAGGATACTCAACAAAGAATTTGACAAATTTTGAATTCAAATCTTAACGAGAGAAAATCTCCCTTTTATGAATGAAGAATTCTCTCTCGTTCAAGCAAAGAAGGAAGAAGGATGGTGGTGACTAATGGTCTGACCATTGAAAAATCTAGCATGATAAATTCTGAATTCCAAGATAAAAGATATTTTATCACGTAACATTCTCAAAAGAATGATAACATCTTTCTTGCAAAAGAAATCTCTGGTGAAATCTCTGGTATAACTACATCATCAAAAAAAAAAAAATCGAAGACATGCTAATAACTTCACGAAAAGCCCCAAGACCATGAGGAAATAAAAAGATGAAGTCAGAAGGACTTAACTCACAAGAAATTAACAAGTTAAGGAATTAGTTCAATTCCTTAGAAAAATCGTCAAGATCTTGCTCGCTTGCTCATAGTGATATAATTTCTAATTCTTATGCTATTAGTATCTTTAATAGTTTTTTCCCTTCATGGACCCTATATTTAGGGCCATCGACCACAAAATAAATATTGTCAATGTATTTCAAACTTACAAACCCTATCCTAGCAATAAGAAAATAAAAGTTGTGGATAAACCTTTAAACACTATTGCAGGCGAGAGAGACATTAATCTCTCATAACACTCGATAACATATTACAAGTCCCACACATTGTAGTTAACTTTTATTCACAAATTTATCAAAGAAAATAATTACAAAATCATATTATTTACTGATTATTGTGTTTTCAATATCTCAATACGGGAATCATACATTTTCAAAGATCAAGATCAATTATCGTACTCCTTCACCTCTCTAATACTACTGACAAAATATGAACACATTATTATAGATTAGGATATCATTCTTTTAAAAAGCTTCGATTTATATTTTCTTCTCTTTTAATAAATATAAATATTAAATATTAAAGATTTTTATTGTGAAACTTGTGAAATTTCTAAACTTGAGCTTATTTCCTTTTTTGAAAGTAACTCTAGATCTTGTAATCTTTTTGTATTAATTTATTCTAATATATGAGGACCCAATAAAATCCTTATTATCTCTAGAACTACTGATTTTGTTACGTTAATTGATGACTGCACTCGAATAATATTATTATATTTAATTAAATAAAAATTTAATGTTAACATTATACTCTCTACGGACAATGCCATGATAAGAAAATTTATTTAACTAAATTTTTTTTAACTAATAATGCTCGTGATTATTTTAATCACAAAATAAAATCATTCTTTCAAAGAAGGTATTATCCACTAATCTTTCCGTACTAACACTCCAACAAAATAGAGTAAAATAAATGAAAAATAATCAACTTTTGAAGATAACTATGTACTTCCCATGCATAATTATATACCGAAATAGTATTAAGGAAAATTGTTCTGACAACAACAATAACAAAAAGCCTTTATCCCACTACGTGGGGTCGGTAACATTAATCATTTTTCTCCATTGTGTTTTATTTAATGTCATATTATTATTTAATTCTAAGAAATTAAGATCATTTTTTATACAACATGCCCATGTATTAACATAAGTCAAATCTAAAACATCTACTCCTAACTGGGTCATCAGATTGTCGATGTTTAATATGACAAAATCATTTAAGGCAACTCTCTAATCTTGTTTGCCGTTGGAGCTACTCGAACTATTTCCCGGATATATTTATTTCACATTTTATTTATATGTGCAGAGTCATTCATCCACCTGAGCATTCTCATCACACTCAACTTAATTTTATGTTTCGTTTTTACAAGACAACAATCTGCGCCATAAAGCATTGCAGGTCTCGCCGCCATCTTATAAAATTTTCCTTGAAAGTCTAAGTGATACTTTTCTATCACACAATAGGTCTGATGCATTCCTTCACTTCAGCCATCCAATTTGAATTCTACTAATAACAAAAGCCTTCAGACTCTAAAATTGACCTCCATAACTCAAGCTTTTCCTGAACTTTCTGTAGCCTTATCCATAAGAAGAATATCGTAGCGAAAAGCATACAGCTAGGTACATCCTCCAATAAATATCCAATAAGAATATGCATAATTAAAGCAAAAAAAATATGGGCTTAAAGTTGAACACCGATGTAATCCAACTGAAATAGAAAAAAAATCAGAGAATCCACCTTGTGTTAGAACATGAGTAAATACTCTAATATATATTATCCTTAATGACTTGAATATAAGTGATGTCAATATATTTCTTCTCTAGAACTCTCTAAAGTACTTCTCTTAGAACCTCATCTTAA